TCCAAGTTGAAAGATCCATCCTAATTGTTCCGATTGTCCTTGAAAAAATCCAGTTTGTTTTCTCCTATGATCCTTGAACGAATATTGTTTAAAAAATCCATGGTGATTGCTCGTATGATACTTCAAAAATATCCTTGAATGCTCCAATTTTCCTTTAAAAATATTTTTTCAAAAATGAACGTTTATTGCTCCTACCAGCATTATAAATTCTTCTTTAAAAATCCACGTTAATTATTACGATAGTCCTTAAAGATCTATCCTTTAAAAATACAAGCTTAATTGTTCTATGATCCTTGAAAAAATATTCTTAAAAAATCCACGTTGGGTGCTCCCATGGTCGTTGAAAAAATATTCTTTAAAAAATCCGCGTTGATTACTCTTATATTCTTGAAAAAATATTCTTTTAAAAGCTCACCTTGTTTGCTTCTATGATCCTCTAAAAATATCCTAAAAAAGTTAATTGATCCTATGTTCCCTAAAAAAATTTTATTTAAAAAACTTCACGTCGATTGAAAAATATATCCTTTAAATTCCAAGATCCTTAAAAAAAATCTTCTTTAAAAAATCCACATTGATTGCTCCTATGAACCTTAAAAATTCCACGACTATTGCTCTGCTAGTCCTTGAAAAAATATTTTTTAAAAAATCATGACACATGACTGAAATATAATCTCTTTAGTTGGACCACAGTCCTTGAAAATGGGTGGAATCAAACAAAAAAAATCTGGTTGATTGCTCCTATGATCCTTAAAAATCATTTTGGAGTTCAATAATTGTTTTTTAAGAAATCCACGTAGCTTGATTTAGTTGGCCAAAAAATAATTATTTAAAAAATCCATGTTGAACTTTCTCTGGTCCTCATAGGAAATAAAAATCTTGTAAAAATATTCCTAAAAACTCCACTCTTTGACAGTCCTTAAATAATGTTATAAAAAATATCACTCTCTCTGATCTGATTCTTTAATAATAACATTAAAAATCCTTTTCGAAGACTGTCCTATAAACGCATGAGGTGATGGTTTTTCAACGTTAAAAGTCCCAGCTACAATGGTTTTTTCTTTCAAAAAAAAAAAAAAAAAAAAAAAAAAATAAAATAAATAAAAAATAAAAGTAAAAAATATTATTAAAAATTTATGTGTTTGTTTTCTCTTTCGAGACGAGCTTAATGATCTGAAATTTGCAGTGAAAAGGAAAGCCAGATAGACACTATCACACACTCACCACTATGCGACGCGTTTCGCCGTTGGTTAAGCGGCTCATCAGGCATATTTGGTGTGGATGATGGCTTACAAGGGCCGTTCTCTGGAAAGTAGTATATATTTCGAACATATTGCAAATTAGCATATGCGAATTATACACTAGAAACTCTCCAGGTTCGACTCAAGTTCTATTGGCAGATCTTTTTCACAGCAAAGTTTTTTTTTGTTTTTGTAGTGATGGATTTTTTGTCCACAACAACTACATTGCTTCCAATGCATACACTTGTTTTAGTGCTGCTTTAGGAAGACGGGTTAATGGCTCTGAACGTAGAGACGGCAACTTCTAGTTGGCTGCACACCGAGGTCCGCGGTTCAAATCCCACAGCCAGGCTCGGCTGAATTTTTGAGTTTTGCCTTGTTAAGGCGAAGATCATATGTTTTATGATTTATGTGTTTGTTTTCTCTTTCGAGACGAGCTTAATGATCTGAAATTTGCAGTGAAAAGGAAAGCCAGATAGACACTATCACACACTCACCACTATGCGACGCGTTTCGCCGTTGGTTAAGCGGCTCATCAGGCATATTTGGTGTGGATGATGGCTTACAAGGGCCGTTCTCTGGAAAGTAGTATATATTTCGAACATATTGCATTAAAAAATAGTTCTTCAAAACAAAATCTTAAAAATGAATGCTCTGACGGCTCTTGATAATAATTATCAACGTCCTCTGAAAGTCCTTCCAAAATATTCTTAAAGTTCTAACAATTATTATATCATTTCAAATAATTACCATTTTTTTATGAATTATTTCTAATAATTCACTCTTTCCTTAAAATCCACGATCTGATAACATTTCCTAAAATATCCTTAAAAATTCACCATCATCAGGAAAAAATATTTTGAAACATCCAAGCTCAGATAATCTCTTCAAATTTCCAGAAACTAACATTTTAAAGTTCGTTAAAAAATATTCTAAAAAATTCAAGTTATGATAGTCCTTCAAAATATTCTTAAAATATTCGGAAATATTTTTAAAGACTCACAAAAATGTGTTTCTAAAAAAATCTTATAAATTATCATCAAGGAAAAATCATCATCAATCATCAAGAAAAAAAATTTGGAAACATCCAAGCGAAGAAAGTCTCTTCAAATTTCCAGAAACTAAACATTTAATGTTCGTTAAAAAAAAAGTATTCTAAAAATTCAAGTTATGATAGTATTTTTAAAGACTCACAAAAATGTGTTTCTAAAAATCGTATAAATTACCGCACTACAATTTTTTTTTTTATATCCTTAAAAAATACACGGTCTGATAGCTTTTTTCCGAACAATTTCATAAAATTCTTTGCTCTAGTAGGCTTTTCAAAAATATCCTTATAAATCACGGATCTCATAGCTTTTTCAAAACAAAAAATTCTGAATATAATATTCTTATAAAAACCCAACGCCTCTAAGTCCATTAAATAAATTTACTGAACATCTAGGCTTTTACATTCCTTTCAAGAATACTCTTGGAAATTTTCGCTCTGATTGTTCTTCGAAATGTGTTTCTGAAAATTCAGGGCCGAGATATATTGTATTTCAAGAAATATACTGAAAATTCCTCACTCTAATATTCCTGTAGAAAATAATTCTAAAAATTCACATTCTAAGAAGCATCCTTAATCCTTAGAAGTAGGTTTACCGTCTGATCTGTTGGATGTAAATGACTCTTTAATTGACACTCCAATCGAAAGTCCCAGGAAGTTAGGTTCTAGCCTGAATCCTATTCCCTCATATAAACACTTCAGCCACCAAGCAAAATTTATTAAATGTCATTTCCAGCTGCCTTCGTCAAAAAACGATGATTTTATCTTCAAGAATCCTAGGAGAGATATCAAATCAAAACCAATAAAATATTTATGTAACAGGGAATTCCACTATTTCGCCTTCAATACTGGTGCGTATACGCAACAATCCCTCACATTTCAATTAGTATATGTCATACGCCCCAGTGTTACATTTCACTAAAAACAGAAGTTTACCATTTTTGCTTAGGGACTAACAAATCGATTACAATTTGACAGTTTCAAACCAAAAACATTAAAAATGTCTGCAAATTAACAAAAAAATTGATTTGTGACTAACAAAACACGCATTTTCACTTTCAGTTAAATACAATTTTTCGGATGCTTAAGTTTTAATCTTTACAAACACACAAATTGTCCATCTATTCCCCAATGTCGTATAAATTCACAAACATGTGGCATACGAATATTTACACAAACAACACAAAATTTATGAAGTACTTGGGTGGATGGCATATTTCAAGAACTTTCTTAGAACAATTAAATCCCCAATGGGCCAGAGACATGTATATACAGTGTGAGATGAAAAAAAAAAAACTGCAACCAATTTCAGAATGCTGTCATTTCTAAGCCACTTGTCCGACAGCTGTTAAAATTATTCCAGTGACAGTTCATTATATTGTTTACAAGCGTACAAAAGCATTTTGGTGAGAATTTTCCAGAAAAAAGTTATTCGCGATGGAATTCAAGCGCGATAGTGCGTTTGCTTAATATTTGGCTGGGCAGAAAAAAATATTTGGCTGGGAAGAAAACAGCAACATCAGCAGAAACGGTTCGAAAAGTAAAGATGCGACTTGATCGAGACCCGCGTTGCAGTGGCCGAAAAATGACTCGTGAGCAGAAAATATCGCAATATTCCATTCGGCAATTATTGAAAAATAAGCTCGGGGTGAAACCTATTGAAATTCCAAAAAGTGGTAGAAAATGGACCCAAAAGAGCTAAAGAGTTGCTTCGCTTGGCCGAAAGTGATGAACTGCCAAATTTGGTTTTCTCCGATGAGAAAACATTTGTTGGCCAGTAGTTTGTAAACTAACAAAATTATACTGTTTACTTGCCAGAGAGGTCAGCTGAAAATGTGCTCCATCGGTTGGCCACCAGAACTCAAGCGACGGCCATAGTAATGTTGTGGCCCGCTATAATAGCCGATGGTCGCTCTCCGCTTGTATTATTATTTATGGAGAAAATAATATTATGGAGAAAATATTCCGGAAGGTGTATTAAAGCCTTCGGCACGCAAACATTTTGGCCGCAGACCTTGGACATTCCAACAGGACTCAGCACCAAAATATTCTGGAGGGTGTATTAAGGCCTTGGGCACGCAAACTCAGCACGCGCCATCCAAGAATGGTTACAAAATCAGGTTCCTCGCTTCATTTCCAGCGCACAATGGCCACCAAAATATCCGGATACCGATCCGTTGGACCATTGTGTCTAAAGTATTTTGGAAAGCAAAGTTGGCTCTAACAAATACCAAAGTTTCGATTACCTCAAGCAAGCACTTCGCCGTGAATGGGCCAAAATACGGCAGAGCAGCGTGTGACGATTCCATTGGCCGTTTGAAGGTCATAATTCGTGTCAAAGGTGATCAATTCGAACAAATCTAAACTTATTCTAAACTTTTATGCTATTTCCGACACTTGTTTGCTTTCATTCCAAAAAATTAAAAAAAAAATGTAAAAATTATGGCGTTTGAATTTGTTGCAGTTTTTTTTTATCTCACCCTTCATATCATGCATAGACATTAATACAAACATTTTAGAAGAAAGACGGAATGATTTTATTGTTTTCTACAATTTCCACGAAATAAGGATATTACCATATAATTTCCAAATTCATTAGCTGCCCTATCATATTACGCCATAATTACCCCCAAATTGAAAATGTTTTCGATTTCATTCCAATAGCCGAACATTACCAAATTAATTTCTCTTTAAATTGTCTATTCTATTTTTAGCCACTAATCTACGGCCGCTTAGCAATTCGCCACAGACTATAGCTGGCAACCAGCCACGTTTTCTATCGCGAGGACATACATATCGTGCTGTTGTGGGTGATACATTGGTGCTGCCATGTCAAGTGGAGAATTTAGGTAAGTACCATTTCAACAACAACAACATAAAAATCTAACCAAATTCCAGTCCATTTACAAAACTACAACAGCAACAACAAACTCATCAATAAACACATTTATTTAAACAATGCTTTGCTAATAATTCAAATGTATTTAGTAACAAATTCCTAGCGTCTCTGTCTGACAGCCAGACAACCAACCAACCAACCGACCAGCTGTTTAATTCCTACCACAATAGTCCGATTTCTCTCTTCTCAATGCCATTTTGACCAGTAATTTGCAGCGCGTGCCACTCACATCTCGCCCATTCAAATAAACATTTATTCTTTTTTTTTTTTTTTTTTTTTGTGGAAATTTTTCGTTCAATTCATGAACAAATGATTTTCATATAAATGTTAATATGTCTTTAATTGTTGTGAATGTTGCTGGTGGAATGGATGATGAAGTACACCATCAATGGCCGAATTCAACTCATTATTGTAATTAAAATGTATGAAGTTTGTGTGCGAGTGTGTAAAATTTTTTTCATTATAATTTCTAATAAACATATGGGGAAATTTTGAAACGCATTTGAACATATTTGAATAGCAACTATTGTTGCTATTTATTTCGACAAATCGAAATTATTAAATGTTCGAAACAGTAAAGTGTTTATTATTTTAAAGAGATATTGGACAATATGCTTCTTCGTAGGGCTATGAGGTAGAATAAATGTTATTATACCCTCGATCATTCTATGGAGGGTTATTAACTTCTGTCCTCAAAATACTCATGTCAGACCCAATAAAATATATATTCTTGATCAGCGTAAATTTTTAAGTCGATTTAGCGATTTTCGTCAGTCTCTCCATCTCTCTGTAGTAATCATGCTATCTTTCAAACAAACTGAGATAGAAGGCTAAAATTTTGCAAACATGTGTATTTTACCAGTAGGCAGGATAAGTTCGTAAATGGGCCATATAGGTCCACGTTTTCATATAGCCACCATATAATGGTACCTTCCTATATTCGGTATTTTAATGTTTCTACCGAAATTATTAACCGGAATTGTTTAAACTTTGGTATTTAAAGTTCGTAGTGAATACTGCAGCCTATGACAGAAAATTGTCTGTGCAGGTCCACGTCTTTGTATTGTCCCAATATACGATACCTCCCTGTATTCGGTATTTTGATGATTTTTTCGACATTACTAACCGAAATTGTTTCAAATTTCGTAGTTGAACTTCGTCGTGGGTACTATATCTATGCAGGACCACGTCTTTGTATAGCCCCATAACCATAACGGTGTCTCCCAATATTCGGTATTTTGATGATTTTGGCGACAATATTAACAGAAATTGTTCAAATTTCGTAATTGAAGTTCGTAATGGGTACTACAATATATGACTAACCAGTAAATAAAGTCTTAAAGTCAGGTGGGGCCGACATTGTGATACCCTACACCACTTTGCTAATATAGTAGTAGAGAATTCAATCATACACGCTATGATTATAATTGTAATTTAAAGTTCAAAAGTCAAAATATGTCGAAGCATTAGTATCTTTTAAATTCGGATTTGTATTTCCCATTCGATATATATGTGGGAGCTATATCCGAATCTGAACCGATCTTGATAAAATTTGGCAAAGATATTTCTGAGCTGTATTTGACATATTTCCCTGAATATTGTTGTTACGGAGTGCATATTACGGCTGTCGGTAACAAATATAACAAATCGGATGAACAATATATATGGGAGCTATAGCTATATATGAACCGATCTTCACCAAATTTGACAAACTAGCTTCTAGACTCAATTCGGTCGTAAGTGCCAATGTTTCCCCAAATATTGTTGTTACAGAGTGCATATTACGGCTGCGGAGGACAAAAAATATAAATCCGATGAACAATATATATGGGAGCTATAGCTATATCTGAACCGATTTCTATTAAATTTGGCATACTTACTTTCAGGCCTAAGTTGGTTGTATGCGCAAAATTCCATACTATTCGGCCTAATATTACACGTTTGGTGCACAATAAAAGGCAAATCGGACGAAGATATATATGGGAGCTATATCTACATTTTTACCGATTATCTCCAATTTCAATAGGGTTCGTCCTTGGGCCAAACAAATGATAAATAAATAAATAAATGCGAACTGTACTTTGTTCACAAAATATATGGACAGACGGACGGACGGACATGCATAAATCGACTCAGAATGTGATTCTATGCAGATCATCAAAAGGAACTATGGGTCTATCTCGTTTTCTTTTGCCTGTTACAAACAAATGCACAAAGACATAATACCCTGACCACCTTGTGGCGTAGGGTATAAAAAGTGTCTATGCAGGTCCATGTCATCGTGTAGCCCGGGTATGAGGATATCTCCCGATATTCGGTATTTTGATGATTTTAGCGGGAATTGTTTCAGCTTTCGTATTTGAAGTTCCTAATGGGTACTACAGTTTATGACAAAAAATATCGTATGCAGTTCCAAGTTTTTGTATAGCTCCCATTGACGATATCTCCCGATATTCGGTATTTTGATGGTGCCTGCCAATATTAAGTATTTTGATGATTTTAGCGGATGATTTTTGCCGGAATTGTTATATATTTTATATTTAAAATTCGTAATTTCGTAAATTAAGTTCGTAGTGGTTTCGATAGCCTATGAAAAAATTCCGTTTTCGTATGGCCTCCATATAAGGGGTTTCATTTGAGTGGTATTTTTAAGGATTTTCCAAGTCACTTCAAAATGGTGAAACCTATTAAAAGTTCGGACCCGACGAACTTATTTGCTTTTTTACTTGTTTCACGTTAAATCAGGTAAATAAAGTCCTCTACATTTGCTTGTAGGTAAAGGTCACTAATTGGCATTCCAAATGGGGAAATAAATTTTAAAAACACATTTTAGTTACCCAGCCGTGCTTTACATTAGTTTTATGTAAATATCACCCACAAGGCATTACTTCACGATGAAAATCTCTCAAGAAAATTAGACTTAAAAAAAAACATTTTAATTTTTACATATGTTACCCTTTTTTCGAATATTCTGTTAATTTTCTTAAAAGTGAACAGTGAACTTTTAATAGCTAATCTGTGGTTTGAAAATTCCGAATGGATTATATAGTATTCGATTTTTAGGTAAAAACAAGCTAAAAATATCAGTCGATTTTGTCGATGAATGTATACCTCAGCCTATGTCCGTTTATTAAAATAAATGTTGACTTGCCTTATGATTACTCAAAATGTCGACCATTCATGGGACAGATGCCCAAGGAATGGCCCAATTTTTTTTCTTTCGCATCTGACCTAAGTCAAATATAAATATTGCGTCCTGCCAAGTCTGGAGTATATAAGGAACTTCGTACACTTTTTATAGGATAATGAAAAATTTTCAAAGGTGTGTGAGGTACCCGATGTAGTTGGCCGAAGTGTTCCACTTTCTCTAATACTCAAAAAAATATTGTGATGCACAAAATTTTAAGAAAATCGAACATTTATTTCCAATTTTATGCGAATAGTTGTTAATCAAAATGTTGACCTTTTGTGGGGAAGGTAAAAGAAGGAGTGGTCGATAAATTCGAAGTTCACATCAGATCTTTGGTTGAGAGAAATATGTGGATATAGCAAGTTTAAAATAATTGTTTCATAGGTTATAAGAGGTATAAAAATTGAAAATTTTAAAACTTTGCTTGGGGGATAGCAAAAATGGTAGCCTACCCCTTCACAACTATGAAGTTGGAAGAAAATTGGATGCTTATTTCGTATTTTATGAGCGTATTGTTTTTTACCTCTGTGAGGGAGGTCCTAGAAGGAGTGGGCCCATTTTCACAGCAGATCTGGATTTGGTAGAAATATTGGATTGTATAAAGGTTAGAAATAATTGGATGCAATTTTTTTACCCTTTGGGGGAGGGGGGGACGTGTACCACAAGGAATGGAACAAAATATAAGATTTGTGAAATTTGAAGAACATCAAATGCTTCTCCGAATTTCATGAGAGTTATAATTGATCCACAATTTTACCCGTTGTCGGGGCGCTACCAGATTGAGTGGTCTGATATATTCCACACTTGCACAGTTTAAACAAAATCGAATGATCTTTTCTCATTCTGTGGTATAAATTATTTTCTTCGAAAAATTTGACCTCTTGTGGTGGAGTTACCAAAAGAAATTGTCCAATATATTCCATTTTAACCTAGATCTTGCATACAATATTTTTTTAGGACTTGAAATTATATTCTTTTTAAAGTCGTCAATTTTTTACTTATCGTCATTAAAAAAATATGTGGGAAATTCTAAATTCTAAATTCTTTGTGATTTTTTAAATCTACTATTATGGCTCTCATATTCGTAATTGGTATGTTCTTCCACCAGTAAGTTGCATACGGTGTAACCTTCATCTATATGTCAAAACTCCATTCAATTTAAAATATAAAAAATTACCAACCATCCTCCATTCGACATTACATAATTTTTCAAGAAAATTAACACTTTCGATGTATAGTTATAATAACATGCTATGTCATGGCTAGCGAAATTCATCATCATTATTTCCTATGGCCACAGAGATGCAACAAAACAATATAAATACAACAACTACAACAAAATAATGATGATGATGATGGAATATAAAATTCTCTAATGTACACTTCATTGCTCGAAAACATTGAACATTGTTCGTTTGTCGGTTGGTCGGTTGGTACACCTGCTGTCACCATTGTTAAAATGCTAACTGCTGGGAATATAAAACCCATTTCAAGCTTGTCCATGGACATGACCAGCAGCACAGTATGGCATGACAGTAACACATGTTGCATACACACATGCAGGGAGATATCAATTTGTTTCCTCTCTGTGTTTTTTTTTTTTTTTTTTTTTTTTTTTGGCTCTATAAATATTATAAAGTGAATATATAAAATAAAAAAGAGCAAAGAGAAAATATATAAAATAAAGAGTGTGTACACATACATATGAACCTATGTATATATGTGTGTAAAATAAATATGCATCATGTTATTTATAGAAA